CTATTGCATAAACTCTTTAGTTTGTACAATAGAAATCCATATGCACATCATAACAAGGTTAATAGCTGTTAGTAGTTACTGCATTGCATAGATGTTACACAGATAATAATAGTATTTTATTGATAATTAGTATTATAATGGTGTCATAGCTAAAGCCTAAAGCAAACATGCAAGCTGCTTATTCAAGTGGGTGGAGATGTTTATGTGTACAGTTTCGTCTTATTTTACCTGGAAACAATGTTATTACAGTGATTACTATCATGCTCACTCACAGAAAATACAATTAGAGTCAGATACTTTAGTAATTAGTTACTGTATTAGTTACTGTAATTATTATGATATTACCTTGACAAATATTCATCAAGTCACCATTACATCGAAGGCAATCTCTTTTTGTAGCTGATAACAATTCAGTGCTGTACATCAATGATGTTGATGATTGAGCTTCTTCATCATGGCTCCATGAGTCCTCAGAACACTGAATGGCAAAATGAATTGTCCTCACAGTAGTATTCCCATAAGTAGTGTAATTAGCTAATAACGAGACTGATCTGTAAGTCCCTTGAACTTTTCCTGAAGCTTGGCATGTGAAGTGAAAATCTAGCAGACTAATGTAGTAAATGCGACTGGTAGAAGACAAAAGTTTGCTGAGTTCATCACTTATTATATCCCGGTTAGGTAGAGCTATGGCACATTCTTGAGCTGATACTCTTTGCACCAACACCAAAGACAGAAGAAAAATTCTAAGACCAAACATCATCAGGTACTTTAGGAAATATACAGCAGCGGAGCGGAGCGTGTAATAAGACACGCCCACATACAGAATAAAATTAATCAACCACATACAGAATAAAAATTAATTAATCAATAATTATTAGTACGAAGTAAACATCACAACACTAAACACAATGATTAAGTCTATCCAGTACAATCAAATTACATTATTGATCTTTTTTTTTACATCACTTCTTTTTCTTCTTTAGATCCAGGAGCTATAAAATTTATAAAATAATCATGACAACTATTAATAAAAAATTAACATACCACACAGTTCATTTCCTTTTCCAATGTAAAGAACAATAAGTAAAACTGCCAAGGCAATAACAATAACAATAGGAATTATTACAGTGATAGAAATTGCCCAGCTTGGAAATTGAGAATTTTCCTGAAAATTCCTTCCAACTAAAAATTTTATGTAAATTCTCACACAGGATGTATTAGTTTGCTTACCACATAAGCAGTTATCATTCAAAATGTAACCAGCTGAACAGATTCTACAGCATCCCTCTCTAACAGCATCACAGTTCTCACATCCACTTAATGTGCATTGTGTTGGAGAGGGAGAGGGTGTGATAGTGAGGGAACAGTTCTTACCATAATATCCACTTTCGCATATACAAGTGTAATCATTTATTTCATCAACACATGTACCTTTAACACAAGGATCTGGAGCACAATCATTAATATTCTCGGAACAATTCTTGCCTCTAAATCCACTTCGACACTCACATTGATAATCAGCTACTTGATCATTACAGGTAGCTCCATTTTTACAAGGATCAGGACTGCAATCATCTATGTTAATGGAGCAGTTCTTTCCAGTGTAGCCTTCTACACAATGACAACTATAATCAGCTACTTGATCATGACAGGTAGCTCCATTTTGACAAAGATTAGGACTGCAATCATCTATGTCAATGGAGCAGTTTTTTCCAGTGTAGCCTTTTACACAATGACAATTATAATCAGCTACTTGATCATCACAGGTAGCTCCATATTTACAAGGATCAGGACTGCAATCATCTATGTTAGAGCAGTTCTTTCCAGTGTAGCCTTCTACACAATTGCAAGTGTAGTCAGCTACTTGATCATTACAGGCGCCACCATTTTTACAAGGATTAGGACTACAATCATCTATGTTGATTGAACAGTTCACCCCAGTGTAACCATCTAAGCAGACACAAGTATAACTTGCAACTTCATCTATGCAGTATGCATTTTGATTGTCACAAGGGTTAGGATCACAGTCATTGATATTAGTTAAGCAATCACTTCCTGTGTATCCTTCAATGCAACCTATTAGTTAAACATACAATTTAGTATACCTAAGAGATTTTAAATTAACTTACTGCAAAAGTAATTGTTATCTTCATTGGCAATGAAATTTATACCAGAGGATGAACAGGAAACAGTATCACTACACTGACCAGTGGAAGTAAATGATAAACAACAAACACCAGAGCCTGATCCAGTACACCTCATCAGTCCAGAATTACAAGCAGAGTCACATGCTAAATAAAATAAACCATTTTATATTCCTGTTGTAAATGGATATGTTGATTGGATTAATCTCAACACAAATAATGATAAAAAGGAGAGTGAAGAGAGGAGAGAGAGAAACACACGGGAGAGTAATTAGTAAAAAGACTAAGAGCTAGTGATGGGCGATTCCGAGTCCAGAGTATTCGATCCTTCGATTCCGAATGGAATCGTACTCGTATCGAAAGAGAAGTAGGAATCATTTGAAACGATTCCGAATTAAACCACACCCAGCCACACCCTTTAATATTAAAAATAGTTAATTTTTTATTGCTGTAATTGATAACACGTGGCTTTGCGCATGCGCAGATGTAATACTCAGAATCGGTATTTGATTCCATCAATTCCAGTCTCAAAAGTATTCAGAATCGGAATCGATTGCAAATTTCTGGAATCGCCCATCACTACTAAGAGCATGCACACACTAAGAAATATATATAAGAATAACCACAGAAGGTTCTAGAAGGGAGAGCACATGTAAAACCACAACTATAATTAGATTTACATAAAATTATAGTACAGTGTATGCATGTACATTGTAAGCATAATATCAAGTTACCACAATTCCTATTTGCTAATTGGCTTACCTCTACATCTAGTATCACCACCAAAACCTTCCCTACACCGATAACAATCAGTTCTTGTAGGAGCACCAACAACACTGGGAGGAGGAGGATCTAAACTACCAGTCCTTCCACTCCATGTACCACTGTTACACTCAATATCAAATATGCTGGTTTGTTCAGGTTCTCCTGGGTTAGGAGTGAATGTAGCTATAAGAGCTATGGCTTGATAAGTATCAATCATGCTTCCTTGAGCTTGACAGACATATTGAACTGATCCTTCAGTTACATTAGGAGAGTACACCTGGTTACCATCAGAAACGACTAGTAAAGGAGGCAATACAGACTCTATCTGAGTTATGCTTGGTAGAGGACACTCTTGAGCAGCTATCAGAAGATGCAGTAGAGATAAGACAGCAAGGAAAGTAAAATACTTCATATTTACTGATCAGCTACTGCTAATGATAAACAAAGTGATGTAAAGGCATCAGTTGCTTGTGTATATAACAGCTTGTTGAGTAATGGGTGAGGTTATGAATTATATTGGGAATTATTAATTGTCTGATGTGGCATACAAGCTGGGAATATGGCGACTAAAGTGTGTACAACAATCAAAGATGCTCTATTCCCTAAGTACTAGAATTACTAATCCCTCAGCATTGATAACAGACTACACGACTCACAGTTGATCTTATAAATTAAATTTAGCATAATGCAAAAACAGAGAAATTGGCTTCTGGTTACAATTAACATTTACTATAAATCAACAAGAAAAAATAACTGATACATAAAACTCTATAAAAATAAAAGTAATTTATGTAAATTGATACTATAATTACAAAGTTGACTTGAAGGCAGGGTTTGATACTTTCATAGACTCTACTGGAGCTGCAGAAAAAAAAACATTATAAAAAATCAAATAATTTAGACAATAAATCCTTACGAAATTTATAAGCAGCACTTTGCTTCTTTGCTTTAATGGCGACAACAATAATCAACACGATTATAATAGCAATTATTATCAACAGAAGTGGAATTACTGCTATGATAATAATTGCCCACAAAGGAAGACTGGAATCACCTTGAGACCTCTCTCCAACTAAAAGAATAAACACAAACGGCTTGATTATAAATATAATAGACTAGTTAGAGAAATGAATAACAACATACATGTAAAGGCTAATATTTTCATTACCAATAATATAAACTTACCACATAAGCAGTTATCATTCAAAGTATAACCAGCTGAACAAATTCTACAGCATCCCTCTCTAACAGCATCACAGTTCTCACATCCACTTAATGTACATTGTGTTGGAGAGGGAGAGGGTGTGATAGTGAGGGAACAGTTCTTACCATAATATCCAGTTTCACATATACAAGTGTAATCATTTATTTCATCAACACATGTACCTTTAACACAAGGGTCTGGAGCACAATCATTAATATTCTCGGAACAATTCTTGCCTCTAAATCCACTTCGACACTCACATTGATAATCAGCAACTCTATCATTACAGGTAGCTCCATTTTTACAAGGATCAGGACTGCAATCATCTATGTTAATGGAGCAGTTCTTTCCAGTGTAGCCTTCTACACAATGACAACTATAATCAGCTACTTGATCATCACAGGTAGCTCCATATTTACAAGGATCAGGACTGCAATCATCTATGTTAACAGAGCAGTTCTTTCCAGTGTAGCCTTCTACACAATCGCAATTGTAATCAGCTACTTGATCATCACAGGTAGCTCCATTTTGACATGGGTCAGGACTACAATTGTCTATGTCAATGGAGCAGTTCTTTCCAGTGTAGCCTTCTACACAAAGACAACTATAATCAGCTACTTGATCATCACAGGTAGCTCCATATTTACAAGGATCAGGACTGCAATCATCTATGTTAACAGAGCAGTTCTTTCCAGTGTAGCCTTCTACACAATCGCAAGTGTAATCAGCTACTTGATCATTACAGGCGCCACCATTTTTACAAGGATTAGGACTACAATCGTCTATGTTAATGGAGCAGTTCTTTCCAGTGTAGCCTTCTACACAAAGGCAACTGTAATCAGCTACTTGATCATCACAGGTAGCTCCATTTTGACATGGGTCAGGACTACAATCGTCTATGTTAATGGAGCAGTTCTTTCCAGTGTAGCCTTCTACACAAAGACAATTGTAATCAGCTACTTGATCATGACAGGTAGCTCCATTTTGACATGGATCAGGATCACATTCATTGATGTCTATGGAGCAGTTCTTTCCAGAGTAGCCTTCTACACAAAGACAATTGTAATCAGCTACTTGATCATTACAGGTAGCTCCATTTTCACATGGGTCAGGGCTACAATCGTCTATGTTAATGGAGCAGTTCTTTCCAGTGTAGCCTTCTACACAAAGGCAATTATAATCAGCTACTTGATCATCACAGGTAGCTCCATTTTCACATGGGTCAGGGCTACAATCGTCTATGTTAATGGAGCAGTTCTTTCCAGTGTAACCTTCTACACAAAGACAATTATAATCAGCTACTTGATCATTACAGGTAGCTCCATTTTCACATGGGTCAGGGCTACAATCGTCTATGTTAATGGAGCAGTTCTTTCCAGTGTAACCTTCTACACAAAGGCAATTATAATCAGCTACTTGATCATCACAGGTAGCTCCATTTTCACATGGGTCAGGGCTACAATCGTCTATGTTAATGGAGCAGTTCTTTCCAGTGTAGCCTTCTACACAAAGGCAATTATAATCAGCTACTTGATCATTACAGGCAGCTCCATTTTCACATGGGTCAGGGCTACAATTGTCTATGTTAATGGAGCAGTTCTTTCCAGTGTAGCCTTCTACACAAAGACAATTGTAATCAGCTACTTGATCATCACAGGTAGCTCCATTTTCACATGGGTCAGGGCTACAATCGTCTATGTTAATGGAGCAGTTCTTTCCAGTGTAGCCTTCTACACAAAGGCAATTATAATCAGCTACTTGATCATCACAGGTAGCTCCATTTTCACATGGGTCAGGGCTACAATCGTCTATGTTAATGGAGCAGTTCTTTCCAGTGTAGCCTTCTACACAAAGACAATTGTAATCAGCTACTTGATCATTACAGGTAGCTCCATTTTCACATAGGTCAGGGCTACAATCGTCTATGTTAATGGAGCAGTTCTTTCCAGTGTAGCCTTCTACACAAAGACAATTGTAATCAGCTACTTGATCATCACAGGTAGCTCCATTTTCACATGGGTCAGGGCTACAATCGTCTATGTTAATGGAGCAGTTCTTTCCAGTGTAGCCTTCTACACAAAGACAATTGTAATCAGCTACTTGATCATTACAGGTAGCTCCATTTTCACATGGGTCAGGGCTACAATCGTCTATGTCAATGGAGCAGTTCTTTCCAGTGTAGCCTTCTACACAAAGGCAATTGTAATCAGCTACTTGATCATGACAGGTAGCTCCATTTTCACATGGATCAGAACTACAATCGTCTATGTTAATGGAGCAGTTCTTTCCAGTGTAGCCTTCTACACAAAGGCAATTATAATCAGCTACTTGATCATTACAGGTAGCTCCATTTTCACATGGGTCAGGGCTACAATCGTCTATGTTAATGGAGCAGTTCTTTCCAGTGTAGCCTTCTACACAAAGACAATTGTAATCAGCTACTTGATCATCACAGGTAGCTCCATTTTCACATGGGTCAGGGCTACAATCGTCTATGTTAATGGAGCAGTTCTTTCCAGTGTAGCCTTCTACACAAAGGCAATTATAATCAGCTACTTGATCATTACAGGTAGCTCCATTTTCACATGGGTCAGGGCTACAATCGTCTATGTTAATGGAGCAGTTCTTTCCAGTGTAACCTTCTACACAAAGGCAATTGTAATCAGCTACTTGATCATGACAGGTAGCTCCATTTTGACATGGATCAGAACTACAATCGTCTATGTCAATGGAGCAGTTCTTTCCAGTGTAGCCTTCTACACAAAGGCAATTATAATCAGCTACTTGATCATTACAGGTAGCTCCATTTTCACATGGGTCAGGACTACAATCGTCTATGTCAATGGAGCAGTTCTTTCCAGTGTAGCCTTCTACACAAAGGCAATTATAATCAGCTACTTGATCATTACAGGTAGCTTCATTTTCACATGGGTCAGGGCTACAATCGTCTATGTTAATGGAGCAGTTCTTTCCAGTGTAACCTTCTACACAAAGGCAATTGTAATCAGCTACTTGATCATGACAGGTAGCTCCAT